GTCAGAACTAGCACCCTTCATCCTAACCCGTTGTCATCGATGTGTGAGGCCGCCTCCACTGCAGACACGGTCCCCCAGGAGGCCCCAGTGTCACCCCACCAGCCCGTTATTTATTTATCTCTTTTGTCCCGAGGAGCCGATCTGTGAATTCTGTGTGTTGGCATCTGAAGGAAGGAACAATCCATTTGTTTTGTACTGGTGGTTTTTTTAAGCTCCTCATTTGCATGTATTTCCATAACTGATGAGATAAAAGTAGGGAGTCATGAAGGATGAGCTCCCCGGAGGCCTGGCTTGTTGTTGATGATAATATTGTAAATTCTGTACAAGTTGGGAAGGGAGAGGGGAAAATCAATAGGCAGTGATGTTAAGATAGCGTTCCTTGGGGCAGCCGGGAAACGTCTTAATGAGTTTAACCCCAGTGCTCACAAAACGCCCAGGTGGGGATTACAGCTTCTCAGAAGTGGGCACCCTTTTGGCAAAGGGTTTACACTGCTGTGGCTGCTTTGATGTGGGAGGTACAGGAAGAGCGGAAGACCGGAGTGGGACTCAGCACTGTTGCGGCATTTCAACGACAGGGGTTCTTCTGCATACCCTCTGACCTTCAGAAGAGCCCCAAGTAATAGGTGGCGTCCCCACCACGCAGACCGGGGATGGTGAGTGGCTTGCCCAAGACCACACAGCTGGGGCAGCAGAGCTGGGTGTGCGCTCACGCTCACGCACGCTCACACTCACGCTCACGCACGTGCTGCATCCAGAGTCGGCTCTCACTCACAGCACGGCTGCTCTGTCGTCGCCTTGCCCCCCCGAGCCCAGCCTCCGGCCGCCAGGCTAATGCTGGAACAGCTGGGAGAGGGTGGTCCATCGGGGTTGTGAGCTGTTTCCTGCAGAGCCTCGGAGTGATGGTGGGCAACTTGGCTCCAGGCAACCACGGGCAGAAAAGTGGCACAGGACAAGCTGCCAGAGCACTTTGTACCCACATGTGGACCAGACTGCTGGTCCCACCTGACGGTGTGCCACCAGTCTTCTTGGCCCATTGAGAATGGCCTCCTCTGGACACCCGCTGTATTGGTTACCAACAGACTGCCCTTGTGTGTGGTGTTCCTCATTCTTCAGCCCATCCCCACCTCATTGCACTCTCACATGCTGGAGAAGACAAGGATTAGCCCACGTTCCAGGCAAATAAACCAAGGTGGAGAGGACTTCTCCGGTCTGCCCACACGTACGAAGTGGTCCCCTTGCTAGCACCACACCCAGGCCTTCTGACTCTGACCCGAAGAAGGTGGCTACTCATGGCCAGGAAGGAGCCCAAGAGAAGAAAGACCCAGTTCGAGCCTCCCAGGCGCTAAGTGTGATGCCTGGGGAGGGCAGTGCCATGGCGGATGCCAGCCTGCGCCAGGCCCATTCCCAGCATCTTCTCCTGAAGTCCTCAAGCAGGTGTTAGCACCCCTGCTTCACAGAGGAGCAAACTGTGGCCCAGAGAAGGCATGGGAGGCTGGCCTGCAGGGTTGCTGTCTAGTAAGTGGCAGAGCCACAGGTCAGGCATACATCTGTGGCTCTTGGGCGTGTGATCTGCCAGATTGGGACGCCTCCCGGCGAGGGAGCAGTGAAAGACTGTCACATGATGTAGTGTGTGTCAGAGACCTTGGCAAGAGGGAACCCCTCTGTGGCAGAGCAGTTGCATGCATATGTGAGCATAGGTGTGCATGGGCGTGCATGTGTGAGGGAGTCCATGTGTGTGTGGTGTGCATGTCTTTATGTGTGCTCATGTGTGTAGGCTACCCCAGCTGCCTCAGGGTAAGAGGTAAGTTGTGTGTAATCATGGGAGGGAGACTGATTGGCCATTTGTAGCCACTTAAGGGCCCCCAGGGAGAACCTGTGCTAGGAACTTCCCTGAGCTTTCTCCCAGTTCTCAGTGGGATGTCTAGGCCAAGGGCAGCCGAGAAGAAGCTCAGGGCTCTTAGACGTCTGGTCCCCAATGGAGCATGTAGACCCATCAGCAGGGCAGGAGGGGG